AAATAATGTCAATAAACAAACTGGAATACAGGAATTAGAACTTCTTCTTGTTGGGTCGGGCAACTTGGGATATGTTTCTTGCCGTTTAATCGTACAACCTCGACGTGTGTGACCGATGGTGGTTTCGATACAACTCCAAGAAATAAATAAAATGAATGCAGAAAAATTACAAAAATTGGAGCCTATGGAAATTCCAAGCTGCGTGCGAAACATACCAATGAGTATAGAATCCAGCAAAGAACCCTAGGTCCACAAATAGCACAACAAAAACAAAACAACGAGGCGGATTCGTTTTCACAGAATCCAAGGCCTGTTTTCACTGGGCCTGTCAGTCAGTCGGTCGGCTTTCGCACAATCCTGGCCTGTTTTCACTGGGTCGTCGAGTTTGGTTGGCTTTCGCACAACCAGCACAAAACAACAAGGGTCAGAACAATACTGGAAACAAATTGTGGGACTTTAGTACGCGTGCGAAACTATGCCAATGAACATAGTGTCTCGCACCAAATCCACTTTTGAGAACTTAAGACGTTTCTGAAACTATGCCAATGAGCATAGAATCACGAATTAAGTCTCTTAGATACCAGAATAGGCACCGATTACTCAAGGCTGCCTAACTAGTCAACCCAATGCGAACTCTCTCTCTTAAAGATAAAAAAACTCTATATCAAAGCAAAATTAGATTTTGTTTCGATTGTTTTTAAACATAAAAATTTCCAAGGTATGTCAACTTAATCAAAAAACTACTATTTAAATTTTAAAATAATTTGTAATAATTTATGACGTCATCTAAATTGCAAAACAATAAAAATTGTCTAGCCACTTATTGAGTAAATTAACTTGCATCAGGCCACCTATCGAGTGAATTATTTTGCATCAAGCCACCTATCGAGTGAATTAATTTTGCGTTGAAGGACTTTGAAGTATTTTTAGTGAGTATTATTTCATAATTTTACTATATATATATATATATATATATATATATTGTCGGAAATTTTAATGAAAACAACTGGTGGTGTGAGGTAATCTCTTCCTCTATCTTTCTCAGTAAATTTTTTTTTTATGGTCCGACAATAATTTTTTTGTATATTTTTATCGTGAGTTCGACCAGTCCTGTGTGGCACTGGGCTTTTTCGAACTATATGATTTTACTGAGTAACACACGAACGCGTAAAAGAATATTCGATAACAATTTTATTAATTGACGGAAGTAAATGAAAAGAAATTGAACTAAATGAACTCTATAATAATGTAAAATGTCAATGAACAAACTGGAATACAGGAATTAGAACTTCTTCTTGTTGGGTCTTCGACTTGGAATATGTTTCTTGCCGTTTAATCGTACAACCTCGACGTGTGTGACCGATGGTGATGTCGATACAACTCCAAGAAATAAATAAAATGAATGCGGAAAAATTACAAAAATCGGAGCCTATGGAATTTCCAAGCTGCATGTGAAACTACCAATGAGTATGGAATCCAGCAAAGAAACCTAGGTCCCAATTCGAACGAAATGAGCGGAAATTAATCAGTGGTCTTGAAAGGCGTTTTTACATTTAAATGAAAAAATAAAAAATTATTATAAAATAAGGCAACCATCATAAACTCTGGAATGTTACAACTTTCCATGCATGTTTTGATGAGAACAAAACTCAAACTTCTGTTGAATGCTGTTTATAATTTGTTTATACGAGGTAGGGTAAATATACTTAAAAGTTAAAATTATTTGCTATTAGTTAAAAGTTAAAAGTTTTTCCAATTCTTTATATAGAACAAAATTAAATAAAAAAATTTCAAGTTTGCGAACTTTCAAGTTTGCGAACACAGAAACTTGAAAATTTTTAGTTACTATGATAAAACTTTGCAGCAGATATTTCACGTAATGTCATTTTCATGGCCATCAAGTTACCTACTATCACTTTCCATCCTGACTGCAACTCTCCTAACGACAGAGAACGGTGCCGATGGATTGGTGTCGGTGAGGAGGAAGGGCATAAGGGTGAGGTGGCCCGGCCCGGTGAACTGGTACCGGTGCGAAACATACTATACGGGATACTGCAGGGAGTCTCCGAGCAGGTGGTGGCCGTGCACAGGAAATTATTGCTATGTACTCATACTGGGTTCGTTTGTGTTTTGATGTGCGGTTTGTCGTTTATCATGAAATTTTTTTAAATTATTTTCTGTTTTGAAGTGACTTTGAAGAGTGTTTTAGAATAATTTTCACTGTTAAACTAGGTACAAATTTATCTGTCAGATTGATAAAGTTTGACTGGGTTCTATAGGATTTTAAGATTTTATAGTATTTAGTATTTACAAGCATTAAATTACACTAAAATTAACCATTCAAATAGTATTTAGTATATAATTCAACGTCAAAAAATTTTATTCAGACAACTCCCTCAGTAGGTACTACCACGCAAAAAAAGAAGTTGAAGAGGAATGCAAGCCGAACACGAAGCTGGTCATCAAGCCAAGAATGATGAAAAATATTTAAAACTTATATGGATTTTATCTTCTTCAGATCCTGAGTGTGGTGGTATGTGTGTGTATGGTGTATGGTTGCATGTGTGTAGATGTGTGTGTGGTTGCGTGTGTGTAGATGTGTGTGTGTTTGTGCGTGTGTGTATGTGACTGTGAAGTATGATTGTGTGTGTGTGTGTGTGTGTATGCTTTTGTCTGGTTAAGTGTGTGCAGATGTGTGTGTATGTAGATATGTGTGTGTATATGCTTGTGTGGTTGTGTTGATGTGAATGTGTGTGTTTGAATGTCTTTGTATGTGTGTGTGTGTGTATGTGTGTGTGTGTATGTGTGCGTGGTTGTGTGTGCGTGGTTGTGTGTGTGTGTGGGTGGTTGTGTGAATGAAGACGTGTGGTTGTTTAAATGTAAAAAAAAGATAAAAAGTTCTAAAAATTTTGAACCCCAGAGGTTGAATTCTCCACAAAACTCGACGTACAGACGCATTGTGCCGCATCATTTACTGTGATAGTCTTTGAGTTTCGAATAGACAGTATTCGAACCAGATGATCGGGTAATTGCAGGAGACATGGCAGGCACTTCTATAAACATCAAAATCATAATGTCAACCATAATGTCATCATCAAATCATAATCAAATAAGTAACCAGTCACAACATTATAAAAATATTTCATCGCTATGATGGTAACATCGTTACCAAAATCAACATCCCATCACTTATGATCAAAATTGTATGAGTTTATTTTAATATATGTGTGTGAACGAGTTTGTTTGTTTGTTAAATATCCAGAAAAAAAATAATTTTTTTGTTACCCACTAATATTATTATCAATAAATTTTTTTTAGATCCGATTCTAAACATCGGATTAATTTTATATTATTTTACCTTTAACCATTAACCTTTATTAGTGATTTTTATGTAAGTTTTTGTGTGCCATTTTGTGTTTGTGTGTATGTGAGTGTGTTTACGAGTGCATTTTTTTTGTTACCCACTGTTATTATTATCATCACCGAATTTTTTTGTAGATCCGGTTCTAAACATCGGATTTTATAATTATTCATGCTTTTTTAAACATTTTTAGCTACGGAATGATTATAGCAAATTGAATGCTGGCTCAATGCTTAAAGTGCATTTGTATGTGTTTATTTTAATATATGTGTGTGAACATGTTTGTCTGTGAATGAAAAACTCACACGTCAAGTTTCATTATTTTTTAACTACAAATAGATCCACTGAAGACGCAACAACGGTTAAACTAATAAAAAAAGTGACTTATTTTTCTAAACATATTTTTACATTTTTATATTTACGTAATGAAAAATTTATAAAATAAAAAGTAGACTCATGCCTGCATATACATGCATATACACATAATTTAATAATTAAATAGAAAAACTGTCATCGAATAATTTTTATAAAAGATGATCAATCGTTCAATGAATGGCCATCAGTTGGTTAAAGATCGTCCTTCATCATCTGTTCAATTATCTTCTTCCTCTTCTCCTGCCTTCTTATCTCCTTCTCCATTTCAAAAACGCTCTTACAATTTTGGAAAACTTTTCTTGATGTCGACGTTGATGATGACGTAAATCGCAGGTCATTATTGTTGTTGCCCATATCAAAATAATTATTTGGATCCGAGTCACTGGCCTGGAAAGTTTCGATGTTGTCTTTGTTGCTTCTCATCGCGTTGCTCAGGCTTCTAATGTTTTTCAGCACCAAGTTTTCAAACGACTCAAAATCATCGAGAGGGTCAGGTAGCACTACTTGGAACATCAAGGTAATTTTCAAAGGACAGGATGGTAGGCCAACTTCGTCCAAACTGGCAAGAGCTTGCTCCTGCTTACTGTACTGTACCAAACACAAACCTTTTTTGTTGCCCGAGAAGAATAACTCTTTTACAACGCCGTATCTTGAAAATATATTTCCTAAAACATTTTCATCGTAGTCGTAGCTTTGTGAGGGCATCCATTTGATCTTAACATTATACCCTCCGTTATTCTCGTCCTCTCGCATTTTACTTTCTTTTAATTGTTTTCGTTTCAGTCGTTCCCTCTCTTCTTCTGCTTCTCGTTCCATCTCAGCTTTTAGTTCTGCACGTTTTCGTAGGGCTTCTTGCTGTTTGAAGACATCCTCCTCCAACCTCTGTCTTTTTGCTCTTGCCTCATTAGCTATCAACTTTTCTGCAAATCTTTTTCTATTTACGTCTATCTCTTTTTTTTTCTTATCGACTTGTTCACGGGCCCTAATGACGTTATCGTATTCATTTTTTTTAATTGGATCTAAAAGAAATTCGTAAACTTTCTGCAACAATTGAAATTGTTCAACTGCTTTTGGATTGTTGGGATTCTTATCCGGGTGAAGTTTGAGGGCCTGTTTTTTGTAAGCCTTTTTTACTAGGTCCTCACTAGACAACTGAGGAACGTCCAACAGTTCATACAAGTCATACTTCTTCAGGTCGATAGAATTTGATTTCGACATTTTCGTTGAATTGAATCGAGTGAACGATGAGAAATTTTGGACAGTAATGAAACTTATCCCAGTGTAGTCTTTGTTATATAACGCATACAACAAAGTCGCTCACCAAAGAATATATAACTATATTCAGAATAGATAAGAATATATACATGTATATTAAGAATAGATAAGAATATATACATGTATATTAAGAATAGATAAGAATATATATATATATATATATATATATATATATATATATATATATATATATATATATCTTTATAACATATATATATATTTCAAATATGTTGGTAATAGACCATAATTTTTAAAATATTCTATAAGTTATGCATTAATATGTTTGTATTTTTTTTTTCGATTTTCCCACTAAAGTTTTTTGGCGAACGTTTAGTCAAAATCACGTTTAGCATGAAGGAAAAAATTAGAAAACATAATGATAGCGCAAACGTATTCAAAGAACACATCAGATTGACAATAAAATACCGACGTAACAAAGAATACAAACGTTTAAAATTTTATTGCCAAAAAAACACTGAAGTAGAAAGAGGTAGTTACTTTAAAAAAAAGCCACGTCAAAGAAACCCAGTTCGAGAAAACGTTTAGGAGTTTATTGAATAAAAAAAATAAATAAATGTATTTGCTGGACAGTGTTATTTTGTTTATTAATTAATCAATTGATTAATAAGTCAATTATGATCAATCAGAAAACATAATGATAGCGCAAACGTATTCAAAGAACACATCAGATTGACAGTGAAATACCGACGTAACAAAGAATACAAACGTTTAAAATTTTATTGCCAACAAACCATTGAGGTAGAAAGAGATATTTACTTTAAAAAAAAGCCACGTCAAAGAAACCAGGTTCGAGAAAATGTTTAGGAGTTTATTGAATAAAAAAAATAAATAAATGTATTTGTTAGACAGTGTTATTTTGTTTATTAACTAATCTATTGATTAATTAGTCAATTAAGATCAATCAGTCAGCCAGTCAGTCAGTCAGCCAGCCAGCCAGTCAGTCAGACACAGTCAGTCAATCAATCTGTCAGTCAATCTGTCAGTCAATCTGTCAGTCAATCTGTCAGTCAATCTGTCAGTCAGTCAGTCAGTCAGTCAGTCAGTCAGTCAGTCAGTCAGTCAGTCAGTCAGTCAGTCAGTCTATCAATCAATCATTCATTCATTCAAATTGCTTTAAAAAAATACCCAACTTAAAGGATCATATTTTTTTATTTTTACATAAACTTTGTCCAATTAATTTTATGATTTTTAGATGCAATCTGTGAAGGCATATTTATATTTATATTAATCTTGTTACCAGCATTGTATTATTATTCGCATTTTATGTCCTTATTTTATTAACATAAAGTTTTAAAATTTTTTTGTATTTATTTATTTTATATTAACTTATTTTCATTCATATTTTGTTCTAAATTGTTATATAACCTATCTTTTTTTGGATTGTAATTATTTTTGACCCTTCTGAGTATTATAGTTAGCAAAAGATGCATCAATTCATGCTTAAATAAACTTTTCAAAACAATTTTTTAGAAGAGTTGACGTTTAGCGAAATGGCGGCACGTTTCCTCTTAGTCTGATTTTTTTGTTTTACTGAAACTTGGCACGAGAACCCTAACTCTCTCTTTTTTATACTTGCGACTAAATACATTTTAAAAGTAGTTTTAAAAAAATAAAATCTTAAAAAATCGACTCAATCACTAAACATAATTAAACGAAGCAAACCCAAGAGTTGTCAGCATTAATCCGGCTTTGCGTTTTACACATAACTTTGATTTTTTCTTGGACTCTTGAAATTTCTTTGTCATCCTTGACTGTAATTACACCCGCAACTTTACCATCCATAAATAAGTTTTTTGATTTTACTGTAACTGTTGCCCAAAACTACATTTCCATCATCATCTCTAGCAACATAATCTGAATCAGTATACCAGGTAGGTAGTTGGGGTGCTTTTTGTGCGGAACTGCTTTGACCGAATCTTTTGCAGATTTCGTCCAGGTAGTCCTGTTTATATATGCCAGGTGGTCGGGCATCATTAAACAGGTTTAGTGCCATCTCCAGACTCAAGTTATCCACTTCAACCAAATACGAAGCAACGAAAAAACCAGACCTATTGTAACCATGTGTACAATGGACTCCGATAATTTTAGTTGGGTTTTGTTCAATAAATTCTTTACAAACGGCATAAAACTTTGATGTTATTTCTTTTGTCGGCGCTTCGCTAAATCCCTCGCAGCTTAGTTTCAAATATTCACAATCGTAGATGTCTTTAACATGATTGACGTTGTAGAAATTTGTTGAGTTTGTCAAGTCGATGATCAAGCCCATTGTTAGTTTCATATTTGCAACAGATTCAAAGACCATTTTTAAATTGAATCTGTATTCATTAGGCAATTCACGGTCATATTTTTCATCCAGCGGTGTTTTAAACACCATGAATTTATCGGATATTAGCGTACTTAGTCGGGGACAGTGCAACCACTTTGGAGGAACTTTTATTTCCTGCTGCTGATTATGATGCTGCTGTTGTTGTAGTTGCATCTTATTTTCTTGGTTTTCCATGGTGCACAAGAACAATTGAATCACAGGTCGAATAATGTGTAATTTCTTAACAGATTATCACACAAAACTTTCCGATTTGGATTGTCTTTTTATTTTTTATTTTCAAAGCGCGTTTTAGATGTTTGATTTGAATTGATCAATCAAATTAGCTTATCCAGCAAAATTTGTAGTAATTAAAACTTTTGAAGATTTCAAAATGTATTAAAATCGAAAGCTAAGGCGGTTAGTGATTTGCAAAAGATAACTCATCCATATAGATATATATAGTGCCTTTACCAATGGAATCAATTAAGCTTAACTTCATGGTGTAACAAACCTTTGTTAAACTACCTCCAATAACTTCTAATTCCAATAAAGAAGCTGTTACTAGATTAACCTAGTTAAACTTACTTTAACCACCTAATTAAATATAATTAAAGTTACTTTTAAAATTAAAAGTTACTTGAATTATATATAATTAAAGTTAATTATATTTAATTAGGTGGTGTTGTATTGATGTACACACACTCACACACGCACACACAAACACAGTCCACATTAATGAATGCAATATTGATTGACGAGCGCAATCGATATGATAATTGCAATAAAGCAGATGTCACGTAGCTTGATTTATCTTAAAGTTACTTTGACATGTACAAAAACATTCCGTGAAGCGTGAAGTGTCAGCGTAAGATCATAAAATTATTCTAATGATTGTAACTCACACAACCACACACAAACACACACATTAAATATACAAAGTTTGATGAATTCACAGACATTCCTAAAAAGAAAACACAAAAAAAGTCTACATATTAAGATAATTCGTAATTCACTTAATTTACATAATTCGTAACAATGTGCCTATAATAATGTTATGAAAAATAAAAATAACTTTTGATAACTTTGAAGTTACCGGTCATATAGTTAACAATGATTATGTAACAATCTTTTTGATGGTGACTTTGATAATAACAAAATGTTGGATTCTTTTTAATCTAATCATTTAAGGATCTGATAATGTTGAATCGATCCGATTATAGTTATAATCTTGGATGACACTTTGCTGCTAATGTTTCATAATTTACTTTGTTATCTCTATTCTATTGGTATTTCGGGATGAATTTATAATTGCAACTCTCTGGTTATTAATTATAACAACTTATAATTTTTATTGATTAAATTATCACTACTAATTATTATTATCATTATTGTTGTTGTTGTTAATTATTTTTATTACTATTATATTTTTAATCATATTGAATTATAATAAAATTGCATATCAAAATTTTTGTAGTGTACTCGTTATGTTCACCATTAGTTGAATGTACTCGAAATCTTATTATTGAAAGTTCAAAACAATCCGAAATCGTATTGCTTCCTCTTTGGTTGCATTCATTATGACTTTTATTTTAGAGTTGATTAATCAGTTTTCACGTTGACTTTTAATGTTCAATGACTAATTCTAGTTTTAGTTGGAACAATACAAACAGAAAAATAAATTGAAGTATGCAAATTATTCGCTGATGATTTTGATAACAAGTGCCAACTATCATCTTATCGTTCTAACCTGTGAAGTATTAATTTTTCAATAATAGATTTCTGTGAATTTAAAACTGATTTAATTGTTTTTATTTGAATTTTCAAAAATAGAAATCTTATACAAAATCACACATACACTGCAACAAATGATTAATGAAATTTTAATTTTAAAACTTAAGATTTATTGAGCTTCTGATGCCCTAGTGTAAAGGTTAAGGTGCCTGGCATTGCTGTTGAAGTGACCTAGTTCGAATGCAAAAATATTTCAGCCTTTCACATGCAACGTGCGTGATGCCGTGATTCACGTGTATTTACAAAACACATTGTTTGTGTCTCTGAGAAATCTTGGAGAGAAAATTGATGAAACCTATTACATTTCATTGCACTGTAGATTTTTAAAACGCCTTGAGCTATCTTCAGAGGCGCTAACTGGGCTTCGTTTTGTTGAAAAAATGATGTTTCAAGCGTCACGACTGAAGTCAGAGTTGACTTTTAAATCAACCGGTAATGAGTTCCAAGTCCTGGCTGCTGCAACTGAAAGCTTTCTTGCACAAAAATGAGTTACTTTGAACGGTGGATAGAAAAAATCTCCGTGCTTTGCTGATCCCAGTCGAATCCGACCAGGAACATTCGACACCAAATTTAACATTTCCTTTAAATAAGTCAGTGCTCTTTCATCCAGACAGTTTCTTACCATAAGAGCTATTTCATATCGAATTTGTCCTTGATTGACATCCAATAAAGTTTGTTTTTTTATTTAATCATAAATGTTGTCAAATTTAAAAACCCGAGCAATCATATTAGCTGCAGACCTCAGAACCAATTGCTAAGATGCCAATTGATAATTGTTGACCCTATACAAACAGTGGTCGATTCTTGTACAGATAAGACTGCACACCAGAAATTTGCTGACTCTTCTGTAAGTGGTTAGACCAGTTTGAAGACTACTGCAACATCAACAGTCCTATGGTCGCTTAACAAGTCTTATGTTTAAACAATTTAATAAAAAAATTAGATATGAAAACCAAATTACAACATCATCAGTGTTTGTAATAATGTTACAACAAAATAGGTTCGGGAAAAAACTTATTTCGAATGAACATCATGGTGATAAATTTAACCATTTTAAAATATTTCTGAAACACAATTTTAACGTAGAAAGGAATGATGCAAAACTCAGTGAATGGACAACCGTTGCAAAAGTCGGTGTAGCTGAGGCATGAGTATGGCACGTTTGACAGTTCTTGATAATTTTCAAATCGTTTCAATGTTTAAAACATATAAATTCTATTTGAAGTATTGGGGAATAGGATAGATGAAAAATGAGATTAAAATGAAACAAAAAAAAGGGATTGAGGTTAAAATTAACGGATGCAAATTTTATGGAACATTTATTAGAGGGTAACTTGGGCTGAAAATTAAAATGGCCTAAAAATTCTGAACAAAAAAATGGTGAAAGATTTCAATTGCGTTTACCTCACTCCGAAGCAACCAACAACAAAAAAATCCCTCGAGAAACTATACAGAAATCTTTTTCTAACAGCTCACTAGGGCCCAACCTAATGGATGGTAAAATGGTGCCTCTCACGTGGGTGGAAAATTTTAGAAGGCGGCAAAAATTTTTCACGTTGACTTTATATCATTTATATTATTAAATTATAACCGTTATTATTGTGGATAATACTACATTCATTAGACGTTGTAGTGGTGTTTATACAATTTATCTATGTTCTCGTACACAGGAGCAAATGCACAATGTAAAAATAAGTCATTTTTATTGTCATTGAATTCTATTTATACTACTCATATTCAATTTACAAATTTGTTTTTTTTTTATTTTTGTAAAATATAAAGCACCGCAAAGTTCAACAAAAACTGGATTCAATACTTTTAATATTGTCGGAAAATTTTTATAATGATAATGACAAAGCCCCACGTTGGACGCCAATTGTCGGAAATTTTCAAAAAGATAAAAACAATTAAAACAACTGATGGTGTTGAGGCAATCTCCTCCTCTATCTTTCTCAAAAAATTTTTTTTATGGTCCGACAATAATTTTTGTGTATATTTTTATCGTGAGTTTGACCAGTCCCGTGTGGCACTGGGCTTTTTCGAATTATATGATTTTACTGAGTAACACACGAACGCGTAAAAATATTCGATAACAATTTTATTAATCGACGGAAGTAAATGAAAAGAAATTGAACTAAATGAACTCTATAATAATGTAAAATGTCAATAAACAAACTGGAATACAGGAATTAGAACTTCTTCTTTTTAGGAATTAGAACTTGTTGGATCTTCGACTTGGGATATGTTTCTTGCCGTTTAATCGTACAACCTCGACGTGTGTATCCGATGGTGATGTCGATACAACTCCAAGAAATAAATAAAATGAATGCGGAAAAATTACAAAAAAAATTGGAGCCTATGGAAATTCCAAGCTGCGTGTGAAACTATACCAATATGTATAGAATCCAGCAAAGAACCCTAGGTCGACAAATAGCACAAGAAACAAAACAACGAGGCGGATTCGTTTTCACAGAATCCAAGGCCTGTTTTCACTGGGCCTGTCAGTCAGTCGGTCGGCTTTCGCACAACCCTGGCCTGTTTTCACTGGGCCGTCGAGTCTGATCGGCTTTCGCACGACCAAGGGCCTGTTTTCACTGGGCCTGTCAGTCAGTCGGTCGGCTTTCGCACAACCCTGGCCTGTTTTTACTGGGCCGTTAAGTCTGTTCGGCTTTCGCACAACCAACACAAAACAACAAGAGTCAGAACAACTGGAAACAAATTGTGTGACTCTAGTACGCGTGCGAAACTGTGCCAATGAGCATAGAGTCTCGTACCAAATCCACTTTTGAGAACTTAAGACGTTTCTGAAACTATGCCGATGAGCATAGAATCACGAATTAATATCTGAAATCTGAAAATCTTGAGAACAAATAATCAGATCAAGAATACCTCCATGTTCATGAGTCGGTTCGTCGATCAAATTTTTTAATTGAAACATTTCTAATATTTCCAATAAATTTACAGTATGACGATCTTCCTGTTTCTCAAGGTGAATGTTGAAATCGCCCAAAAGTATGATATTTAAACTAAAAAAAGTGATTTTTTTTTAGTAAACATAAAAATTCTTCAAAAAATAAATTACTAACTAAAACGATGGCCTGGCTAATAGAACAAAATCTTTGTTGCTAATAAATAATTTAACAGCAAGTGCTTCAAATGAACTAAATATTAGCAGATCTATTTTCTTAAACTTAAATTCATTACTGAAGTAAATAATTAAACCCCCATGGTGAGGATCATTTATTCTTAAAAAATCAACATAACTATATCCTGGTGGCATTGATGATTTAACAGAAATGTTATTCGAAGATCCGTGCCAAGTTTCGACTAAAACGAAAATATCTAGCCCATCATGAATCAAATCATAGATCGTATCAGTTTTA